GTTTACACATGTACATTGGGCGTATAGTTATTAAAACGAATTAAATTTATTAGGTAGTACAGTAAGGTTTGGATTACCATAAAAAAAATTAAAGCTGCTAAACAACATGAAATTAGAAGCTTTTCGACGCATTAACCTGAAGATATATTGCTGAAAACAATGATTAATCCAAACCTTGCTGTATTCTATATGTAAACAAATATAAATACTCTTATTTGGTTTTGATTTAATATACACATAATACTAAATGGAATGTGCTTATTGTGGTTTCCTAATTTTCTGTTAAAATCATAAGAAAGTGCATCACAGAAAAAGTTGAAACACAATCTTGTGTTACAATTGATCTGTTGTATAATTGTTAATTACAACTGTATAGTACTTCCAGTATAAATTATTACATCGAATTGTAATTCCCAAGGAATGTTTATAATGTTAACTGTAAAATACTTGGTCATAAATAAATTTGAAAACGGAAAAAATGGAAGTTATCTATGACTCAATTTTACATATTTGTATGTAATGAACTGCTATTATTCATTGAAATTCAACGTTCATAACTATACGGGGAATAAAAATGATTTACTTTCAAAATACTGAATAATATTTACTAACTGTTACTTTTTGCATTCTGTAATTATATTACTTGAAATATTTCGATTTTCGTAACAAAAATTCCAAGAAAGCAAATTGCTGTTTGTGAGTTTACTTTCGATTTAAGGAGTATCTACATCTAAGCCTTTCTTTTTTCTGTAATCATGCTCTGATTGATATCCAGGAGGATGATTATGATCATGTACACCGGTAGGCATAAATCGTTCTGCAATTACCGCGCATTTACCTTTACATCCGCGATGTTGTTCTGCACATCGATAATGAGATCTGTTTAAACCTTCTGAACGAGATGTTAAATTATAGACATAGCCCTCGTGTACTAACTGTGGGCGACCCCGTGCAGAAAGCCTATAAATCACTGGTTCAACAGCTGTAATATAAAAATATTACTATAATGTATTAACACGTTTTATTGATATAAAAATAACTTTAACTTCAATGTTAATATATAAACTTTAATCAGTGTTAGGCATACCTTGTTGCACAGGATTTTCTCTTGATGTTTGTGCACTACTTTGCTCAAATAAGACCTCTTTGTTATCATTATCATTATCCTGCTCAGTAGGAACATCTTCATTTTCTTGTACAGATTCATTTGATTCTTTATTCATTAAAAGCAAAACTTCCTGTTTGTCATCTATCTCTTCATTTGACAAATCATGAATACTCTCCGATACTGTCAAAGCATCCTGTCTTTTCCTTTTGGCATTTTTTTTTGTTATATCACGAGACCTTTTTCTTCTATCAATCATTTCTACATCTTTAGAAGTTTTCCTAATTGTACTTAAATAAGACTGAGCAACACTTTGTGTATTGGAATCAGTATTTGGTTGATTGTCACAATTAGAAAATAATTTTGTAGTACTGGTATCATCTGTTGCGAGTCCTCTAATCTGCAGTGTTTGCGCTACTTTCAAAAAAGTAGATAAATCTTCTTGTCTTATGTTTATTTCACCTTGGTACATAAATTTTAATAATGACTCAATTTCAGTGTACTTTATGTCCTTCAAAATGATTACTGGATGTTGGCAAGGATTTTCCTGTAAAATGATCCTAAATAACTCTTATCTGCACAATTGTAACTTATGAATAGATTTAATTAATAGAATGATCTATTTCCATTTCTTAAAAACAAAAGTTTTCACTCTGACAGTAACTAATAAAGATAATTATTGAAACAAATGTTGTTAAAAGACAAAGTTACGAATGACTGTATATCGCCCAAGAGATCTAACATTAGGAACTTGTAAATGTACAATTAAATGAAATAATATTTGCTTCTGTACCTTAAATATATTTTTAAAGTATGGGCTGCACACTGAAAGAACAAGTTTATGTGCTTGTAGTAATTGACCCTCTACCGCAAGAGTAACATCAACTAAATCATTTTCAGTAAGATGAGTCAGAAAGCCAGATGTCAGATTAGTAGAAAAATTGTTCCACCTCAAGGAGAATTGTTCTGATAGTGAATTCTTTGCCATAATTATCTGAAAACAATGAAAGTTTATAACGGTAAATTTAAAAATAATTCTTAATAAAAAAGATCATAAAAGAAAAAGTGCAATAAAATTAAATATGTAATTTCTACATATTTAAAATTGATATCTTGCAATAGCTGTGTGAATAATCACAGAAAACTTTCATAACAACAAATTCTAAACAAATTTGCAAGTATAAAGGGAAAATTGTAATTGCTAAAAGTTTATGATTTAATACTATGAAACGATTGTTTATATAATTGTAGAGAAATTCTACTTCATTACGAACGCTGACAGAAATGTATACCTTATTACATTTACATGTTTAAAATACTCATAAGATATTTAAAGTACGTACAAAAAATGCTTGTGGTTATCAAAGAATGTAAAGATTAGTAATATTATCCTATGTTACGCGTTATGAATCATACCATCGTGACAAATGCACTATCGGTATCGAAGGAATCGCAGTACAAAAGTTTGGAACTGATAAATTGATAATGTTACTCAATACGTATCTGAATATGTTATTGATAAAACTGAAAGATATATTAGTTACAAGATAATATATTATTAAAAATACTATTTTTATGTACAACTGTAAAGTATTAATTTTCTATTCAAAGTAGATTGTTATAGACGATTATTAGATTTAGTTTGTTTCGAAAGTCGTAAAGATATTTTTAATATTATACTTCACTGAAATCGTATAAAATTATGCAACAAGATTTAGGTAGTAATTGTCAATTACAATTTTTTATAGATTAAAAGACAATTGTAACTTGGATGAAAAAAATTAGAACCGCTTAACATCAGTAAGTTTGAACATATCGTAAAAGTTGAAAGATCCTACGAATTTTGCTCTTCAGTTGTGTATTTAATAAAGAGCAGTATAAGTCATAAGTTCCAATCGATAATATAAATAGTTTCTTTTTGGTCAATTTATATCATAAGATATAGAAAAAGAGTTATCAACTTTGGACATTTTTAAGTAATTTATATTTCAACTATTGGTTGTTGAGTTATATTTGCTTCGTTCACGATAACATATGTACAAACTGAAGTTTGCTACACACTACATACACAACCACTAATAGAGTGTTAGCAACGTGAGTTCCTTTCATGTGTCTTTAACCAAGCCACGTCAAAATATTTCTTTAATAAAATGGTAAGTGTAATGTTTGTTCCAATGTGGCATTTTTTACTTAATAATATATAAATGATTAGTATTCTTCAATTACATTGAGTTTCTTATATTCAAATTTATTGCACTTCTTCTAATTAGGCCCCGGTGTTTTAACTTCCGCATGTTTAACAATTGAAGTGAAATTAACACTGTGACGATTAATGAATAATTAAGAGCTTGTGAGCATAGGAAACACATTAATGAATAACAATTGATTAATTTCAGAAAAATTAATTTTATTTTTCTCTTAATTCAGGAGGAAATCGAGTCTATGACAAGATATGTCTCTCCCATAAATCCTGCAGTTTTCCCTGTTTTAGCAGTGGTTTTATTAGGAATTGGAATATTTTTTACAGCATGGTTCTTCGTGTATGAAGTTACCAGTACAAAATTTACGAGGGATATGTTCAAAGAGTTGTTAATATCGTTAGTGGCAGCATTATTTTCTGGATTTGGTGTATTGTTTTTACTTCTTTGGGTCGGCATATATGTATAGGTACATTGAGCATATTTAAATTTATTGTATAATGATAATTATAAAAAATAAATCTAACTTAATACTTTTTGTTTCAGATTGATCTTGTGAGTTTGAAAATTAATTTTTAAGACAAATATGTAATAGCATTTAAATAAATTACTTAACAATTCGTCATCGTAAGAATAAAAACAATGTATTTTTACTAAAATGTGCAATGCAGTGATTAATTTATACATTTATCACACAGTACATAAGCATTTGTATGTCTTAATATCTAAAATTGCTATTCGAGGTACATAATTCTATTATAATATAAAAACAAATCAATTTAAAAGTATAGATTTTTTACAGTTGTTCTGAGTATATTGTATTTAGAAATATAATTTCGTTAAACAATTCTGCTTACATAATTCACAATACTTAAATGTTTTACTGTTTACATATATCTATATATAAGTGAATAATATTTTTTGTTTCATTTTGCACATCAAAGTTTTGTATTCATCCAATGTTTTGTTATGAACAAAATGTGAACAACATGAAACAAAAAATATGCTGATGCATAGTATACAATCCACACAAAAGATTCTCTGGACTTGCAAAATGATATCCTCTTGCCTCTTTAATATATTCATATTTCCTCTGTTTATCATGACATTTATATATTTCTTTTCTGTATGCATCGCTTGTAATAAAATAAAATATTAAATAGCGTAACGTTGTATAAATCGAAAACAAATTATTTAACCAGCTAGTCCCGCTTTTTGGCGACAACGTTGCATGAGCGCTCTAAGCATGAACTGTCTGCGTGAAAGTTGTCTGACTTGCTTTAAGAATGCATCCAAATCTATGATACCACAACGTAAACCTTCACCGAGGTAATATATTGCATCTTCCGTGGCAGCTTCTTCCGCGAACGCATTCAACATTCTTCAAACACATAAGAGAAAGACTTATTTAATTCCAGAACGGATTTAATTGCTCTATTAGATATTATTTAAAAAAGAATATACTTACTGTTTATAAAGGGGTGCAATCGTAGTAACAGCTTCATCAACATCTATTGACTGATTATCGGATAACTTGCCAATCTCTTTTTCTAATTCCGCTTCTTTGTCTTGAAGTATAGTTATATTTTTCTCGAGTTCAACTTTCTCTTTCTTTAATCTGTCAAACAAATCGTTAAGATGCGTGGATCCGGTAGTGAGTTCCTGTTGCGTTCGACGTAATGTTTCTAACTCGGCTAATAGTTGCGAGAATTGTTCTTTGAGTCTTCGTTTTAACTTATCCTCTACAGCTGACAATAGAGATGCTCTGATATGCTCTTCTGTTATTGTACCTGACCCACCAGCAGTACCAGGTACTACAGCAGACTTAAGAATTACAGAATATAAGTATATGACTGAAACACTTCTGTCTCTTGTTCAGAAGAATTTGTAACTCACAGGTTGAGTTATTGGTGGGTATGGATAAGAACCATAGCCTTGTGCTGGATAATTTGAAGCAGTCCCACCATAAGACCCATACCCTGGAAATGAGTATCCAGAGGATGGAGTAGGCATGTATGGAGGATACACATTATTCCCACCTGGATACTGAGAGTTTGGTAGATATTGAAAGTCAGACTGGCCAGGCACATGACCAGCACTTCCAGGCATAGGCATGAAAGCTGCACAAACGTTTATGTTTCAGTAAGAAAGAAAAAAATTTGGACAATTGAGACAAAGACAATTGGAAAGTTAGCTATCTTACGTTGCACAGGATATGGAGTAGAACTTGGTATAACGTCTTTTTTCGACTTAGTATATACAGGTGGTTTATCTCCAAAAGTTACAACCATTATTTGAATTAAACTAATCAAATCAGATGAATGCTAAAAACAAAGGATACATACTCAAAATTGTTATTGTAAAATTTTTATTGTGCGTGTTACTCACTGGCAGCCAATCGTGTAGGTAAGGCAAATAAATTTTTCCATTGTGGTCAACAAATTCGCTGATTCTAATAGCCATATCAGCTGTAGGTTTAACATAGCACATAGGTGCATTGTTAGGATGCGTATCCATAAGCCATATACATACAGGAATGTTGTAACATGTGCCTAAAGATATATTTAACTTTAACAAATCTCTGGCACTAAAATAATTTTAACTTTCACTAAGCTGATTTGCATTACCTTTGTAAGAGACTGGTATTGTCCCTCGCAAGTTCAATAAATCTTTACGTGAACCATCATTGAACACTAGGTCAGAAAGAATTGTGATAAACATAAATATATAAATTCGAATAATAGGTTTTAAACTTTTATAATGAAAAGCACGGATACATACCAAATGGTTCAACTGTAGACATTAAACCTTTGTAAAGACTCAGAACTATCTGAACATGCTTTTTGGTTGTCTCTGGATTCTGATACTACAAAATAAAACGCCTGTTTCACCATTCAAAATAATTAAAAGATGTACATTGATGATAATACAGATAGAAATACGAACGCAGAAGAAAAGATATGATACATGCCTTTGCTAAACCTTGCCTTATTTTTCCCTCATCTAGTGGTGTCATTTTCACCATTTAACCAACTGTTTTAATGTAAACTGCAGGAAAAAATAAACAAAATTTAACGTCTCCGCTTCAATTACGAGTAACAAACTAAATTTTTGCTCTACCAAACGACAGTTTGTTTGTAATTTTACTTCTCAGCACTTTATGAATCGATTTATTAACCAATTATAGTTATTTTCCTCGACACAAGAATATTTGGTGCATTAGTTCTTTCTCTGCTACGCAAACATAACCAAACAATGATTACAATTCACTTCAACTGGAGCGCAACTTCCTCTTTCTCACAGTACTGCACAGTAACTGGAATTCATTCAGCTGTCACCCGCAATTACACTCCATAGATCATGACAGTATGACTTTCCTATGGTTCACAGTCAGAGAATATAAAAAACAATTGAAAGCCTACAATCGTAGGTAACCAATGCTGCTAATATTGGCGAGTATTTTAAAATTTGTAGGTTGCCAAACATATTATACACAATTGCACGCAACAGTTCTCCGCCCACTCCTGTCTATCGTACTTACGAGACACTATGAGCAACGGCATTCCCATCTATGACACGAAATCCTATGGCGCGTATCATAGCGCCACACAGAGCATTCCCATCAATAATTCAATCATTCGAATATTTAATTCCAATTGAATACTGCTTCTGCAATTATATTGATAACACTGATGATACAGGTACAACCATCAAACATATTCTTCACAAAAAAAATTACTTCCACGATACATTCATATCTTTTCATAATAACAATACAAATAATAGCACAATAGTATAATTTCGATATGAATGTCTCGACTTAATCGTATATTAAAAATAGTTAAGAACCAAGATAACAAGCTTCCTATTTATGAGTCATCAGGAAATTCATCCTCGAGTACTTTGACATGGGCGGAAAAGGAAACTGAATAGTATACAATTAACTTGTCTTAGCAGAACTTCATGTAACGACCATTCGAATTGCTCTTACGTGTAACTTTACAGTGAATATCGTCAGATCGAAATTTATGATAAATGGCCGTTTTCAGCCTCGGTAGGAAAGAGGGTTTTCCCTCCCGTTACTCGACAAACGAGACCCCGGTCACCGTGGACGTCACGGAAGTGATTTTCATCGCACTCTTTCTTATCATAGGCATCGCTTACTTAATTATCATACCGAGTTACAATAAGAGACAGGTAATCATAAAGTTGCAAAAAATCAAAGAATTCTTACAAACGAATAATCAAGGATAAAATATTTCTTCAGAGCATTTTCATGGGCGTTAAGGTGACATTCAGCGTAACAATTGGATGTCTGTTGATCGGTACGAATCGCTTTAAACGTTAATCTTAAAAATTATATTTCATAAACGTTTCTCGTATCGTTCAATCGGATTTTTTTCTTCTTTAAATGCAGTTATACAAATTGTTAATTCGCAGTGAACAATTTCGGCCAGGAATGGGAGAGGAGCACCGTGAGAACTAAAGTACCTTACAGAGCCGGTACCGGGCACGAAATCAATGGTACCATTGGCGTGAAAATTGGTCTCCGGTCAGTGAACATCACTTTAAAAGGTATTTATCTACAAAAAAAAATCCGAGGCATTAATCGTAACAATTAAATAGTACTTTTGTTGTCATTTAGGAACTGGAGAGCAAGGAACGCCGCTCGCGAAGGAAACTATTAATTACAATGAAAGATTTTGGTGGACCTGGGACCAAGGCAGATTCGGATTCGGCCCAGATGGTGTGCAATTTCTAATCCTTACGGATCTTTATCGCAGCATAGTGTTCGCTTTATCTAGAACATCTTGCGGACAATATAATAAACATAAGATATAAAAAAAACAATTACGTAAGTAATCGTACGATAGTATCACCTAGGAATAATTTGTAATTTAAGCTGGGCTGTTGCAAAGAAATTTTCGAAGCGCTCAAAGAAGGGGCGCGCCGATCTCGATCCTTTGGGTAGCCGAGTATTTCGTCATCGACGGAGAAGGCATACGATTCGGCAGATTTTACCGTACCGCTGGATGGTATTGTCACATTTTACTGTGGTTCGTATGCTTCCTACGTTCGCGTATACAGAATTTCGGGTACTTTATTTAGGCATCTTGTGATATCGTGATCTACTTTGTTGTAACAGGACAGCATTTGCTACGTGGATCCTAGCGAATATATTTCTACAGAGCGTAGGACGATACGCGGCGTATTGTCTTGGCACCACCGGTCTCCTGCAAATATTAACTTGCTTTGTATGGCTCCTCGTTCGCAATCCGTCGCCACTCGTAATTCCTTTCGAGGATGGAAGTATTCGGTTGCATTTTGGACCACACTTTTGGATGACCTTGGTCTGCGGTATTACGCAAACACTCGAGAAGCTTTATCTTGCGTGTTGATCGGTTCACCATGCTCGACGAGCATAATGATAATAATACTAATTCTGTCAACGATTATTCATTCTTTCAAATCAATACGTAGTTCTTCTTTATTTTATATAATTTTGTTTGGACTTTTAAAGCTATAACAAGTTCCACAGTTAACGCTTAGCCAACCGAATAGATCTCCCACTTTTCACTTAGCAACGTATCGCCTTTTGTTCTGTTTATCTTTTGTTATTTAGTAAGTATTGAAGTGGGATTATTTGTAATTCATGAAATAATTCTTGTTTTTACAAAACACAGTTTCTAACTGAATTAATTGATTGAGTTCATTTTTTATAGTTCTTTTTAGGCGGTCGCCTAAGTGTTAACTGGTTGGAGGTCTATCGGTCTGGGATTTTTGAAAAATATGAATGTTCGTCTGTTCAGGTAAACTGTGCGTACTATTGGCTTCAATATTACTGTACATGGACTTCAAGTACCCGAATCTATTGTCTATGTTTTTGAATACGAATCCTTTCAATCAGTACGACGAGTGCATAGTAGGTGAGCAGGATCGTAACAAAATCACTTGCAGATTCGACGTAATTTCCTTCGATTGCGCGTCGACGATTGTTTTCTGTTCATCGGATAACGTTCCTCTTTTGTTGAAATAAAAATTTTTCTTCAGATTACAGCGAGTACGAACATATGACAAATACCGAGCAATCCGGAGGAATAGAAATGCGACCACTTCGCAGTACTTCACGATCTTCAAGACTCGACGTCGTAAGTGACAAGATGATATAATTATCAAGTTAACGGGTACAATTGAATATTTTTCTAGATGGTACTGAAAAGGAGGACAAGTACGAAGTCGGTGAAAAATGTGCTTCGCTGCCCTGTACCGGTAAACGTTGAAACACAAGAAGAGGGTGAAGCAATATATTTAAACTTGATACGGTAACGTGTGATCGAACACTACTTCTACATATTTTCAGTGACTTTATAGTGGTGTCTGTATTTATTATACACAATATTCCCATAGAGAATCAATTTCGCCGGAAGTGATCACTCATCGTGGAGGGGATGATGCAGAGTCCCCGCCGTTAGTGAAACTACCGGAAAAAATCACAGACCAGAGAGTAATGGTTTGAAAAAACTGTGTATTATTACGTTACTACAGGAATGACGATACAATTATCTTTTTTATGTATTTACATACATCTTAAAAATTGAAACTTTTGCGTTCCTGTATTTCTTTATTGACCAATGCACCGCGGTACGTCGCAACATTAAATTAACGAAGTGAATCTTGTATAGACCGTAGTTCTGCCAGTACTTAAGTTTCAGACTCTGTTTTCTCTTTACTTTCGCTATTCTCGGACGTGTTTCTGCTTTTCTCGTCGGATTTCGACTCCTTCTCGGATTTCTTCTCTTTGCTCGATTTCTTCTCGCTCTTCTCTTTATCAGCCTTGTCCCCGTCGTTCTTCTTGCCGTTATCCGATTTGTCTTTGCTTCTTCTCTCTTTATCCTTGTCCCTGGACTTCTCAGAGTATTTGGATTTGGAGGATCTGGATTTGGACTTGGATCTAGACCGCCTGGATTTCGACTTCGAACGTTTGCTGCGCGACCGTGACCGACTCCTTCGACGCGGTGATCTCTTCTTTCTGTCTTTCGACCTGGATCGCGATCTACGTGATCGGGATCGCCGAGATCGTGAGCGTGAACGATGCCGACCGCGGGAACTGCTTCTTCTGCGCGATGGAGACTTCCGTCTGCGTTCTTTGGACCGGGAACGTTTCGATCGGGATCGTGATCTGCGTCGGTGACGCGAACGTGAACGTCTGTGACGAGAACGCGAACGTTTGCGTGACCTGGATCGTCTGCTGCGACCCCTTGACCTCGACCGAGACTTCCTGCTGCGAGAACCACTGCGGCTACGTTTGTCCTTGGACAACATGCCAATCATAGGATCTATCGCAGCTGAAATTAAATTGTGTGCCTCTTTTACTCGCGACATGGCTTCTTCTATTTCCTTTTGTGCCGCCTCGTTACTCTTCGCCTCGGGTTTGGCTATTGCTTGGGTCGAATGATAAATTTTTATACTTCTATCCAGAAGCATTTTTCCGTTTAGAAGTAAAGCAGACACAACTGCTGCCTGCTCGGATAGTTCTACCAAAGCATAATGTTCAGTGTCCGAATCTCTGGTGCATATACGTAAATATTTTACTTCTACGTTGTTATTACTGAAGAAATCTAACAGGTTGTCCGTTGTCACAGAGGGATCTAAGTTAGCAAGAACCAATGTTCTTCTGATCTCCTCGATCCGTCTGCTGTCCAAATGGCCAGGTAAATGAGGATAAGGCGGTAGACCATTCGCTTCTAGTTTTGGATCTATGGTGGAGATCACATGATTCGGAGGAATTCCTTCGATTGCATTTACAAAGTTGGGTGGTAGTTTTGGCTCTGAAGGGTACAGACCTGGAAAATAATTATAAAATATCTCAAATCAATCTGTGATTTCTATAAAAGACATTAACAAGAACAAAAATATTAGATACTTTACTTACCTGGCACAACAGTACCGTTATTGGTTAGCTCGAGAGCTCGTTGTTCATCTGGAATGTCTCCATTCTGATAAGGAATCACAATCAGTGCACGATCAATGAACACAGTGTTTGTCATGTGTTGAGCAACTGCAACACATCCTTGGTCGTGAAATTTTATGTAACAAATACGTGATTGGACAGGTACCGCGACATCCCTTATAGTAGGATACAGTCTGATATCCTCTATTTTCCCAAGGTACCCAAACAGGGTCTGCATTTGATCTTTGGTCGCTTGAGGCGCGATATTCGTCACTTGCACCACTTTTGTTGATCCCACCGCCATTCTTTCTATTAAATTTGCTCCGATTTTCCCTAGTCTATCGCAGAGAGGTTAGTTTACCGAAGGATAGTATTGTGTGCGAATAAATCGCGCACCTTACTCAAAAGAGTTACCGTGATTCACAAATTACCATAAAATATGTTTAACCATAATGGCGAACATGGATTTTGCGTCTTTGAAAAACGACTCACACCGAAAATCAGCTTTCTAGAACAACGCGTTCCTCGGCAGCACACTACGCTCCATACATTCTTCGCGTTTTTTCTTCCAACAATTTTGGAACAACGTTATGCCATCAACTATGAGTAGATAGATGATATAAATGGAAGGTAAAGTACGAAGAATGATTTTACCGATAGTCGATATTAAAATATGTACTTACATATCTTAAATTTCTCATATGTATCTTAAATTTCTATTAATTATTTATTTTATAAATCTACCGTCTATATATAGTTATTAATATTTGCATCTTTTCTTACGCATACCATTTACGATACCAATTTAAATAATTGCTAAAATACACATATATTAAATAAAAAAGTAATTTCACGCTTTGACTTTAATGTTTAATTTCTCAGCTAATAATAGGCAAAGCCAATATAACAATACACGAAACACTCGAAAACAACGTACAGGATTTTTGTAATCGTATAAACAGTAATATCTGGTAAATTAATAACATGAGCCTTTTATTGTACATATAATTTAATAATATAAACAATTAAACGACACGCGCACTTATTACAGCTTGATGGCATTATCATCGTTAAATGATAATCACCGCAGACTGCAACAATTACATAGCCAATAATTTACATTCAGAACAATGAAATAACAGAAGTTGTGAAAGTATCCGATCAGTATTGAAACGGATATAAAATTTCTTTATACACAGGCTACACATTCTGTAAACGGTAAAAAAGTGGAGTAAATTCGAACATAATTATAATTGCGACAACATTAGTAAGTGGTACTCAAAATTCCTTTCAGATCCAATCGTCTTAATGCCCCACGATTCGAGGTCATCGATGACCGCGTATTCCTATCGAAAAATTATCTCTATTCTTGCATTGCAAACGAATGAAATCGAATTTATCGTTCAGTCGCACGAATTGTTTAACTGTAGCCTTTCGAAAGGTTCTCATCCGTTTCGTATTGTCACCGGTATGTGTTATTTGTCAGCTTATTGCTTCGTTCAGAGTAATCGGTCCCACTATCGTTGGCGAACGGTCCCCAACAATTCAATCACGTCTAATAATCCAACGATCAACAGGTGATTTATTCGTCAATTTGATATAAGAATAGTGTTCAGGCGAGTGAAGTAATTTACAAAGCTGACGATCGCTGATCCATTGTTAAAACGTGTCCCCGCAATTCTTGAAGACGAGCGGGCAATGTTTCCGGGCGATCACAGCGTAGGGAACGTCGCTGTTCACACGAACTGGCTCCGATCCGCTCAGTTTGTTCCATACGTGGATAATCATCGCTTTCTCCAGCCTCTTCATCGTTACGTTCTTGTCTTTCATCTCGAAATACATCTTCCATTTCTCATAATGGATCGGGTAAAACGCTGACGGCGAGAACACTCTGAAGCCTTGGCAGCGAACGGTGGACATGTCTCTGATCTACGGTAACACCATCGGAATCGATCTTTATTCAATTTTAATTAATCGTGAATCTATTAACTTTCTATATCTTCGGTAACTGTATCAAACATTTTACAATGAAACATTGCTGTTTTATAGATACTCGAGTGGTCGTTAAAGGACTGAAACATCTACTACAACCGCTCGATCGGTATTCGAACAACGAACATTAGAGCCTTACTGTAACGACTCACGTGTTCCGTAGAGCAAATCTTTTGCAGCGTCCTGGTGATGACACCGGGCCCATTGTTGCCCCAAATATTACCACGGTAATTGGCTTTCAAATCACGGATACACGCGTCGGCGACGCGACGGCCCATCGGCGTCAGGTCGAATCCCATCACGCCGGCAGCGATGTGGTTCCAATCTTCCGCTCCAGCGAAGTTGCTTAAGTGCTCCAGGGACCTTTTCAAACATCAGATATCGTTCTCATTAGATCACGAAACTTACCGCAACAGTCTGCTTTCCTTTATCAATGATCCCAGCAAATGAATTCTAACCGTTTGAGTGGCACTCTATCGGTTCGTAGAATCAAACGAACTATACTCATTTGTCTTCCTTTTAATTATTCACTTTTGTTACTACCTGCTTAGTTCTTTTCTTTACAATCTTTTCTTTAGAAATAGAAATTTATAGAAAAATCGAATATTTCTATAGAAATAGAGCGTCATTCAGCTTGGCACTCAAACGGCCAATCTGGACTAAATTCTAGTTGCTGTTTCATCTGTTTCGCAGATTTCCATGTACAACGAAGTTTCGAAATCTGCTTACGTTATGACCACGACGTCCAGGTCCAGATATATTCCGCCGAACTTCCAGAGGGTGAGATATCTCAAAATGTCCGACATGTGGTTCCGAGGCCATTGGCTTCTCTTCAGCACGCCGCTCTTGTACCATTGCTCCAGCGGCGTTCCCATCACATACTCTTCCGGATAAATGCGTCTGATCTTGATGTTCGGATAGGTCTGCAGCTGATTGAAAATCTGTTCGGAATGGTTCGAAATTTTCGACGGTGAGGTGAAGAAGAGGTAAACGTTCATGCTAGGGTTCATTTTCGCCGCGGATTCAACGGCGCACGCCTGGCGAGCGTTCAAGACCAGACCGTCGTCGAAACAGGAGGTCTCGTGGAAGAAGATGTTCTTGTCCTCGATCGGTACGTCCAATTCTAAAAGGAAACAACGGAATGTCATGCGTAACCGGTTGTTAACACCAAAACTACCGGACGAGTCAAAATGACCCATTCCAGACTTCTTCTTTGCGCAATTGTTGAGAAGCTAACGGATCTTTCTCTGAGAGATCATCGAAGGAATCGACGTGGCAACGTGCAAATTGCGTTGAGAATGAATTAAAGTCCGAATGGACGTACTCTTCGAGTTTCTATAGAGGAATTTCAGAGAGTCGATTTAACTGCTCGGTAGTTTTAGCGAGAAAACACTTTGCGCGTTTATGAGACTGTCGTGTGCATTGCAAAAAAGGGATGCGAGGAGCGATCGACCGTGTTATAATAAATTTATGTGCGCGGCAACACGGAAGGTGGGCCATGAATTATTCTGTCGAGTAACTAGAGCTTGTATCGATCACACTTTACATTATTACAGTCGTTCATTCCTTGCGTACGGTCGTTCATCAACGGCGAGTGTACGCGTACCGGGTATAGAAATGACATTTTCTGTTCGGACGTATCCTACGAGTGAAGAACAAACATACGCACGGTGAAATCGAAGCATTGGATGGTTACGTTAATCGAGATGCTTGTTTTGCATTAACTCTGAATCTGTCTGAATGATTCATGCAGGAAATCGAAATTTATCCGATTACAAATTCTCGGCGCGTAATGTTTGCAACGTGTAATTGCGTTGATCACTGATGCTTAAGTAATCATTGTCAACAACACTCAACACTCGTGTCATTGCTTATTTTAAATACGGACGTAAGATCATGGCGTTACCTCCTTCGTTGTCCTGTTTTGCCTCTGTAACAGCTGATACACAACTAGTACCAAATTTTATCTCGCTGATAATAAAGTGACACAAAACAAGAGAAGATAGTGTACGTCTGTTTCAACCGCGAGGGAGATGAAATTTTGTAATAGTACCGAAATCGTGTTCGACCAGCTGGAAGTACCGATCTTCAAGCATCTCGAGAAACAATCCAGTTACTCGAATGAAAAGCATGATTTGACAAATTGCCGTTTAAGAAAGCCAATTGAAACGGTGCATCCGGTGTGTCACAGCAAACAATCTCCCTCCAACCCCTTCCATTCGGTATTAATGAGTCAGAATGCCCGCTCGATTGGAGCCAAACCGTAAAACGTTGTTATCGCCTACCGTCAGTCCACAAAATTCTATTCGACGACAGTCGATTCTTTCAATCTTCTCAAATGAAATGACAATTCAAACGATTTATCGTTTGCACACGATTAATAGGCGATAACAAGTTTTCCTGCTCGGTGCTGGTTTTACGAGCGCGAATGCGTTAATCCTGTGTTCATAAAGGACGCGACAGCTTTGAATTCCAGCAATTGCTCCGTATGAACCATGACACCGCGCTCGATCCTCCTTAACCGCGTCGTTGTATAGGACGTACTTGAATTTGGATCGAATCCTGGAAGGCTGTTCGACGTGCTGGCCATCTCATAGCAATTAATGTCGCTGAGGTCGCCGGGATTCACGAACGGCATGTGTTGAATGAAATCGTTAGACAATTATTTACAATTATTTACAATCTGCTGGGCTGCACCGATTCCGATGACCTTGAAATCTGTTATTGGTCGCATAATTCCGAGTACCCATCGCCCAGACGTGTGACCGACGTATATATTCAACGTGAAAAGAGACACGCTACGAATAAATTTCACGATTATCAATCGCAGTTTATTTTCATCAAACGAAATGTGGTCGCGCGTATCAGGGAAACTGAAACCGAGGTCACAGGTTAGCACGGAAAAGTTAGAATTATGCCGTCGACTGCGTATTTCAAAGTCATCGAAATCAGTTGCGCGCGTTTCGTAAATAACTACCAATCGTTGTCGGTCGAGATCATGATGAGGAATAGCAGCACGGCGCAGACGAAGCAGAGCAGCAATCTCTTCTTCATTTTCGTGCTGATTCGTTCTAAACTCGATCGAGTCGCTGACAGTCGCAACGGTCCGACAAGCATCTGGTCATCTTCTTTCCGACGCTCTCAAGCGATCTGTAATTAATTTGTTTCATCTGAATAATTCGCTCGGGCGAGTTCGTAGCGTGTGGCAATTGAAACGAAAGAATGTGGAAATAAACAAGGAGAGAGAAAGGATGCGCATGTTTCTCATTAGAATCTTTTATTCGAATGATCGTTCGAAGATTGATGTTCTTTCGTATGCTTGCATACCGGGTGTCGAAAGTGTACGAACGAAAGTGGACAGGTTGATCGGTAAAATTGGTCAACGTTTTCTTTTATTTCTATTTTTATTTATTTTGTATACTTATTTGTATTCTTGTCGCCTCTGTTGATTCTCTTATCAAAGTTATCATTGAAACGAAAGAAATTCATTTATTTTGTCATTTTACGAAGGTCGTTGTATTCGGTACTCGATCGAATACCAAATTGATTATTATTTATACGAACTGGTAGACGCGAAGTCTCGGTATCTTTAGTGTTAACATAGTAAATCAGTTACCCGATATTTTTGTCGATTGGTAATTAAAAGCTCCGTAAAAGAATATTGATTACTCGCAAAGGAAAACCGAACTAACACACGTTGTTCCCATTGGAAAAATGAATATAATTATTTATTTGGGTCAACCTTATCCCAATGCGATAAAAAATATTTATTAACGACTTGACAACTACGCACTAGTTCAGATAGCGGCAAGCATATTTCTTATCTTTAAATGTTAATTGCTTTACTTAGACTGAACTGTCTCGTGCATGCTAAACTATTTCATTTCTTCTACCCAAGATATATTATTTGAATTTATTAGAACCTACCAATTATATTTTTTATCGATCCACGGAGTTCTTCAGTTCCAGTCGTGACAGTCGACGAAATGCAACGTATTTGTCTAAAACGAGTTAATTCACGGTTTACATTGAATGGAAAACGTCGATTGTCTCTAAATAAGTATCTCTTTTATCCTGAGTCTTTCTTCGTATCACGAATTCCTTGGCAAATACAAATACATACTATCGAGCACGTCTATAAAAAGTACGTCCCGTTGAGGAATAATAATTAAACGAACAGAATAAAGGAAAGTTTGCTTCGTTAATTCATACACCGGGTAACGAAATCGAACGTGATACCTAAAACGAGTCCTATAGCAAAACCATCAGACCCAACGGACAACCGTTTCACAACGAACATTGCGATTCGTTCGGATTAACTGAAAATAGTCGGTCGGCGACAACATATTTACATCGATTTCCAGCGTTTGCCCGGAACAAATTGACTGTTATCCCGACGAGGCCATTGGTCCATCATTAGGCTGCCGACAATCATTGCCACGGCGCCGAGCGTTTTCTGCGGTCCAGCAGGGGAGTTTCCGATCGATTTAACGCGCGTTCACGTTGAAACGTTTCGCCCCAGGACTCATCCCTCACGATTCCACGGGAAAATAACGATCGATGCTCATCGTGCGACCGCGGACGTTATCGTCACGAGACCTGGATGTTCAGATAATCATCGATCTCCTATTGTTCACACGTTCGTAGTCCATACAAGATTCCTCATCGCGTCGAAGTAATGCGTTCGATGGAATCGAGTAACATTTTAATTGATTTTGAGCCTATCGAATCGTTAACCAGGCAAACGGAGAGTTTCATTTACATTCACTTTCGAAATGATTGCGCATAACGACTGGAATACCCATAAAGATTCGCGGTCCAATGATCATCGTTCGTAGCACCTATGTGCTCAATCCCTGATCAATGACAAGTGCGTGTGCACAGCCACCCTGACGCGTTCTCGTCACTCGACCACGATCAGAAACTCCGTTGAAATGACGTAGTATGGACAACCGAGGCCACGAAGGAGTTTCCAGTGTCGCAACGATTCAATCCGGTCGTGTTCAATGACAGGAAAACAATGCGTCGCGCTTCCATCAACGAATCGTTTTGCCGGTAAACCGAGAACTGTGATTCCTCTCCAGTTTGCATTCGCTCGCCACCCATCGGCGATGTGGGGCTAACAGCGACTGTTGGGCGCATGCGTCATTCACCGAGTATATTGCATTTCGTGAATAGAAAATGTCAGTTTTCATTTGATTTTATAATTTCAGTCGCCGTACTGGAACTGTTTTACGTAACGATCCGTTTCGAGCAAGAATGTCTTCGTTCCGAGCACGAGAGACGGTTAAAATATATTTCGAATATTTTCAGAATTATTCACTTGTTCGCTGGACGAGACGAATTAATTGTCAATTTTATGGTCGGTTTCGCGTACCGATGTCTTGTGATTTTTTAATGATAATTTCTATACTGATTCCGTGATATCAATATTTATGTGGTATTGTATGGTAACAGAAGTGTCGTATTTCATTATATGTATGTGTAACCTCTTTTCCAGGGTCTGCGTAATTTTCATTTATTACCATTTCTTTGCGACAATGCGATGGGAAGGCGAGTAATTATTGGTTACTAACGATAAAAGTTGATAATAGTTCGGTTCGAGGTGGTGACGCAGCGTTACCTGTTTTCTGAATATTTCTTACGTAAATATTGAATAGCGTATGAGCAAGCACGCGAAGGTAATTATTTAATTTTTATCGAAACCATCTGCATTTTTAAAGTGTCAGGGCTAACATTTCGCTGACAGCTTTCTAGGCAATAATTTCAACGATATTTCATTACGTTTACGTTGATCTGAATCGTATACCCGTTTCTACAGTTATGCAATCAAGGTTGCAGTCCTTTGGCGAATAGCATAAAATAGGTATCACTCTTATCTTCCATCAATAACGCAACACATTGGAATAACAATATGTCCTTTCACACTATAAACTGCAACATATAATCATAAAAAAATTATTTCATAAAACACTCATCAATCTAACATTCTTAAATTATTTTCAAGTTCATACCAGGAATGAACCATACAAAGTTGTGATTACCGACGTGTTCACATTGGTGACGCTTCTGCCTTCTATCGATGATGGCGCCATAACCTACTTCTGTATTCCGTTGGTAACACCGGAAGTGACATGAAAATTATAATACAGAATTAATGTACAATCATAACCATAAAAATCTATAAAATTCTAATCATATCCTCGTGAATATATCCAACGGTATCCAAATATTGACAAAATTCCAAGAAAGTGGCGCCACGCGAGTGCCGCCGTTAGTTAACGGATGAATTACTACGGCGACGGAGGCGCTTGGGTCGTTTACTCGAAGAGTGGTCAGTACACAGCGAAAATGGCGCCGCTTGAGTGAAGGTGGGTGATTCTGTGCGTGCGTGTGCCCGGAAAGTGCGAGTTTTCGGAAATGTGGCAGGATCTGGACGGTCTAGGTGGTGCGGGAGTGAATTCTGGTGCTCACCAGGTCGACCAGTTCGGCACAACGGGTAAGAAAACCGGCGATGATCCGTTAATACCATCCATCCCGACGTATACAGCAACCTGGCGAGGCCTGGGTTCTCCCTGTCAGAGCGCACGCGCTCTTTCTCCTTTTCTATCGTACACACGTCGTAAACAAAACGAAATCACCTTTCTCCCGTCGAGGAATCGGACGATCCATCGAACATCCATTCCCTCTCGGCTCTGCGCTTTTGTACGAGCGAGTACACGGCACTCGCGACGATGCTACCGGACGGTCCAACCGTTTCATCCGCATCTGTCAACGTACGAGCGTTGCATCCCACAGGACACCCCATCGCACGTTCGAATCGGTCGTAACGAACAATCGAACGAGATTCACGCGGAGATACGTACGATATATATATATATATGAAAGCTGTTCCTCGTTGTCGGGCAATCGATATTATATAAGATACCCCGAAGAAAAAAACAAGTTGTCGGGAGTTATCTACAAGACGAAAGTAAACGGGAAAGATTATTTTGTCTGTTTACGTTTGGCTCGTTTAGACAGAGATCGTATCCAGTGAATCACACGGTTACGCAAACCGGTGATTTAGTGGAGGCTGTAACGAGGTCCGATCGGTTTCATTTGGAAATACGATAGCGCTGTTACTTTTGTGACTCGAGATACTGGCACCGCGTTCCTGATCCACCGGCTATGTTTATCTCCGCCACGTTCTTTCAGTCCTTTTCGATCGCGTCCTCACACCTATGGAACACGATCGCTTCAGCTTTCTCGATCTATCGTTTGTCGAACATACTTCCGTTGTCGGTCTATCCTGTCCGTAAATACAAGGGAGGGAGCATTTTTTTCAGTCCTTTTTAATCGCCTATGGAACATCGACACGATCTTTTTCGATTTATCGTTTGTCAAACGTACCTCCCTAATTGCTCTATCGTTCTACCAGTAAAGACAAGCAAGGGACCATTTTGTTAGTACCTTTCGTCCTCATCTATACCGACACGATCCTCGATCTATCGTTCGTCAAATATACTTCCGCGATCGATCTATCGTTTCTACCCGTAAATAAGAGGGACGACATCGGAGTGCAGTGTTCCGCGTTGCAAGTTCGGCGAGTCGATTCGAGTGGTAACGGTACAGAAGACGATTTAAATCCTTGCAGCCCTTGACGATCGGCGAAGACACGGCTATCGACCCCGTTACGTTCCCAGCGGCGAAGCAACAGTTTCTAATTGTTCCGCTCAGGCACGTAACCTAGCCTAATCCGAGGCGCCGACTTTCCGCTGGCCGCGCGCGAGAGGATGAGAGGTTAGCGTACCCGTTCAAGTTACATAACCTCGCACGGAGGTCGAGACCGGGGATGATCATACGGTACTACCGTCACGACGTGTAGCGCAGGTGGCAGAACGCGTTATGAATGGCGTATGAAACGTGTACACATGCCGGCCGATCGTTTCCTCTCTCGTTACCGTCCCCCACCGCCTTTTAGCGTTAGCCGCGTTTCCATGTTTACGCTTGGCCGAGTGCCGGCCGGATTATACGTAGCGAGGCGTCCTATTATACGTACCGGTGATACCAGCGTGAGGGGTCGGCGTCTTTATGAATCGACAGTGATACCGATTCGCGTCCCTTCGGAACCGACTCGGTTTCGGATGTCACTGATTTACCGTGACGAGGAGAATCAATCGTGCGACGATGCCCGTGAACGCGTCCCGTGCCACGTGTACCATTTATGCTGCCATTTTTCTCAGGAAACATTTCTCGCGAGACGTGTGTCGAAGGACGATGGTACCTTTTTCATAAATAATATCAGAATAAAAAATAATAATAATGAAATAATGGGAAGTATTATCAGTGTTTTGATTAATAATATGAAAATTTGTTCCCAACGTTCCGCCATCATTGTAGCTGGCTTCATAGGGTTAAAGACACGGATACTGATTCTCAACCCCTGATGATAGTTGCAATGATGGCGAAATGCGTTAATCGTTGCGGTACCAAATTTTCCGCCATTGAAATGGTAACCAACTATTCGGTATCGGCAGCTATAGAACACGGTACCAAATGCGACAGAATGGATAATTCTATCGAACTATCTAACATTTGTTAGTACATTAACACGTTGAACGCAGCACGATAGAGGACAGTACACAGAATGGAAAGAAAATATTAAGTCATTTAATCGAATCGCATTGTTACCATTCCACGTTCATCCAGCCAAATGTATTTATAATATACAAAAGTTTTCATACGATCATCGTTTAATCGAGCGAACCATAGTAATCCGATTTGGTCGGGGTCACCGGTGACCCATGTCACTGAACGCGTCAAACGATTTTGATCGCCGGAACAAAAATGATTCCGTGATTCTCCGTTTCTTTTGTTCTTCATTTCCCTCGGAGAGAGTTTCGTTGTCGATCGTTTTTCTTAGCAGCGGGTTATGCGGTATATAAATATAGTTGGTACGCCCGCGGCGGTTAGGAGAGGGCAAATATTCTATCGGTGTGACAGATATACTGGGTGACACGATAGGAAAGATGGGCGAACACGTTCGTTGGGGTTCAAAGGAGAGAACGATCGATCGGGAAGTAAGGATCTAAGGTAGATCGGTGTTTTCGTGATTGAATTACTCGAATCGTAAGCGCACCGACTACTCGGCCATTAATAATTCATGAGGCAGAGTGTGTCTGGTACTCAATAGCGTCTACAGAAATCGGTTCAAGGTGTTTATAATGAAACCAGTCTGTTCGCCACTTGTTCCCCTTCGGCGTCTAATCCCATTCGCGTTTATTCGCCGCGTCTGCCGCGACCCCAGCCTTAATTCGAAAGACCTATTTTTAGATCTTTCGCTAAATTGCTCCTAATGAGGTCCCTTCCTCCGCTCGGCTGCCGCCGAGGACGCGCTATTGTGTCCGGGCAGTGTCCAGCGAGCGGTACCAGTCCGTGTCTGACCCAAGTTCACGATCAATTATCGAACACCTAGAGCTGCACGTCGGTCCTGTACATTAGTAGATCGAAGAATGACCCATCCGTGAGTTACCCTCATCAGGCGGGAGGCAACCTTTGCGCCTTCTGCTTCGATAATTATATTCCTTGCTGCAGAGCTAAAAGTTAACCTCTCTCGTCTAAGTTCGCGCTATTGCATTAAACTCTACGCCGAAATTCTATTAGTTCCTGCATTCAGCGAGTTCAGTTTTCCTTGTCGCGTTAACTTCGTTAGACCGAGCGACCTGAAGTTTAGCATCTGAAATTTTTGCTGTCAGTAACGGTAATCAGGTTGGTGCAGGCATTATTCGACACTAGAACTACGAAGTACTTAAACTAATTACCAAACTTCTTTGTAAAACTTGTAACTGTGTATTTATTAAGACTCCGATTGGTTTTTATTTCAATGTAGATCTAAATCAACTTCGTTGACTTCTCAGAGAAGCATTTGTACCTTTCCAGTGATTATAAAAGAAACCGGGTCATTCTGATCTATCTGGTAGTTCTAGTGTTAACCCCTTGCTTTACGATTGAATTTCGGTGCGTTAGAACTATTTATCGTTAATAATGCAGTAAAAGAAAACATTCCATGCTCTATGTTTAGATTTAGTATAAACCATACAGATTGCTAACAAGAACAATACGTCTCAAACTTAACGCAACTCAATATGTTTGTTAAACTATATTAGAAATCTTCGCCTCTGACGCGGTATTGTAAGGCAAGGGGTTAATTCTACGAGGGACGTAGCTTATCAACCAACGCGTGCGTCATTACGAAACTGCATGCTGGAATTCAAATGGAAAATTGTAAGCGTTGAACGGAGACGACGAGTTCGCTCGTCGTTCGAATCGTTCAAAGACACTTTCCCCCAGTCGGGTATCGAACAATTTCCTCCCCATTAACGAGAGTTATTGTTTGTTGCGCAGAATTGACGCCCGAGGAACAGAAGATTCTGATCGACATCAGGCGAAAGAAAACGGAGCTGCTGCTCGCGATACAAGTGAGTCTGATTTGCCCCATTTCGACAAACGGTTTTACCCGTGGCCCCGTTCCCCGAGCGATACGGGCCTGTGTCGTGAGAAAGCGTTTCCCGCGGTTTTATCGGCCACTGGATACATCGATATTCCGCATTCCGCATGCATTGCGCCCTTTCGGAGTTCGTAATCGACCGGGCCGTGTATTTCGGCTCGTTAAAAATCTGCCGTGTTCGTCGTTTCGACGATGTCGAGGCACAACACCTTGCCAATCAGAAATCTCTGAAGAATATCTTGACGAATTATTAACGCTAGAACTACCAAGCACTTAAACCGATTTCCAAATTTATGAAACTTATAAGTGTGAATTAATTAAGATTTCAATTGGCTTACATTTCAGTGTAAGTGTTACTTAATCAGCTTCTTTAACGATTTCTCGGAGAAGCATGTACCTTCTCGGTAATTGTATAGAAAGAAATCAGGTCATTCTGACCCATCTGGTGGTTCTAGTGTTAACGATGACGATTACACCCACGAACCACTATACCCTCATTCTTTAGTTCCATTACTTAAGAACCTCCATAACGTCTTTTATGTTTCATTTATATAAATCAACGATAAATATAACATTGTCGTTACATTATTATAATTAGAAGAATAGAGATTTATTAGTTCATCGAAGATTAGCGAAATCAAGATTTGGATCGCATTCCAAACGATTCAAGCAGACTTTCGGTAGACAAAGCGTCAGTGTATCGTTCACCGATCAAACGGAATCGAACGGCAAGATGTTATTAATCTCGAGCGTTATCGAGTCCATTGGAATCGTAATAAGACGAGCCCGTTATCGTCGACGCTGACAATAAAACGACCGAGCTAGAACAACGGTCTGGATTCTCCGGTGGCCACCCTCGTTATCGTCGCCCGACCAACGAATGATCTCACTCGTCGGTTTCGCCTAACGAACTGAGTCACGCTCGTAAAGCTTTCGATTCGGAAAGATTTCATCTCGTGTTCACGATAAGGCGACGATAAGCCAGCCGGCCATCGAAAACACACTTCCGGCCAGGAATGGCCGGCCGCCGATACCGTTTTCCAGAGCCGAGAGCAGGTGCTTCGAGTCCGAGTGCCACCTCCGAGTCTTCGACCTTAGTTTCGCCAGCTGTTTCCATCGACCCATGGGAATTTTCGATGCCGGAGACAGGTGGTGTAGGTGTCACAATGAAAACCAGCCATTTTCCCGAAGACGGTCATCGCAGCGCAACCATTGAATCGGACGGAGCGCGGATCGGGATGATGCCCGGTGCGCCTGAGTCAGGGAATCGGTTGACCGTCTTCTGTTGAGTCATAAATTACTCACGGTTCTACGTTGCTGTGTTTATTACGTCCCGAGAATACTTTACGAGCAGAATTGATTTGTTGAACGTTGTCGGAGGCACTAGGGATTAGGATTGCTCCACGAGCATTTCAGCATTTTCTCTTTGTTGGAATTACAGTTTTCTAATACTATAATTGCTCGAGTTTGTATTATCCCTTTGCACTCGAGAGCTGACTCTCGCCTAATTTCATACAGTAAAACTGTCAAATTTGATATTCAATAGTATACCTTGTACAACTCATCAGTTTGACGAAATATCTTCGAAGAAATTTCACGAAGTCTTCATCTCATCAGAACGTGTTCAAATATTTGTAGTGAGAAGCTTCCAAGTGCAAAGGGTTAATTAACACCTTGACGATCACTGAAAGCGATGAACGACAGGAGTAGTTTCTTTTGTTAATTAGATCCTTGAAGAGTTCGATCAAGGTTCCATACTTTCAGGATAAGATCATTCTACTCCTTTATCTATAATACTAAAAACAGATTGCCATCATTTGCACTTACATTCAGAATGACACAGCTACATACAGCATTCACGAGTTAAACACCATATTATTTACCTCGTTCCGAAGAAACATTAGTTCGAACATAAGAATCGTATCAGTTCCGATCAAATTTGCCCAGAGGTTACTCCCGATTCTACCGGAACGAAAGGAAAGCGGCCATAATGGACGGCTCGTTTGTAAGCAGAAAATTCCGCAGAACCCCGCAAAACGATAGAAAGCAGCCAGCAGCCTAAGAAGTCACCGATCCCCCGACAAACGTTCCTTTAATGACAGAGGTAATTTGTGTCGCGAGCGGAGAGCGTCGTTTCAGAGGGTCGTCGCGCGTCCACTTTATCATTCGTTTTGTCCCGTCCGGGCCCATTGTGCTTTTCTCCTTTTAAATCCGCGCGCACAGAGAGAGGAGGCAACCTGCCGCCGCTGTTGTCGGGACCAGCGTGTTCTCATTCCGATCTTTCCGGGCAGATAGGGATTCCCGGGGCGGTGCAGCGAGACCGCGGGCGCGGACGAGAACAGTCCCTCTCTCGGGTAAAGACTGGTCAGGTGGTTTTTTTCCCCCTATTCCCTGGATCCATCTATGGAAAGAGGATTCTGGGATCTCGCTTAGACCCGCCGATCGTTTCAGCCCGGTAGACCTCTTCTGTATCTTCAGGCTGCGTCCGCGGTTTCTCGTTCACGGGAATGTTTCACTTTCGAACAGTCCGCTCGTGGCTGCGCACACTTTTGTGTCCCACGAAGATAAACAACGGATCGAACCGAATGGGGACATTGTTTACGAGCTGCGCATTGTGCAGTTAGAATTAGTCGTGAAGGTACTTCCAGTTGCGAGAAGGTAGATGCGTCTAGTAGCAGGAGATCGGAAAGGATATCTGGATAAATTGATGAGAGTTCGGATAATTCTAGGCATTGTTGTTTAGGAATCGATTTCGTCCGATCTAATTAAGAACTTTGATGGATGGGTTTCTTAATATTGATGAGGTCGAGGAGTAACAAAGTCACACGGCGCGGTAAGGTAATTCTAGGCATTGTTGTTTAGCAATTGATCTCGGGGTAATTGATTTCGTCCGATCTAATTAAGAAGTTTGATGGATGGGTTTCTTAATATCGCCGAGGTCGAGGAGTAACGAAGCCATAGACGACGCAGGAACTTTTTCACAATGGAGGCTTTGTTTATGAGCTGCGTATTGTGTGGTTGGCATTTGTTGCGAGGAAGGTAAACGCGTCTCGTAGGAGGAGATTGGGAAGGACATGAAAATTTGTCTAGGAAGTCATGGAAAATGTTCTTGTTCCGAGAGTTTAACGTTACTCAGGATTCGCACGGTTCCATCGTCGGCAAGCTGTCGCTGCTGCTGTATTAGCCAACGGTGATCCTATTAATAAAACATTTTTCGAACGCACGAGGTACTTCCATTATTTTGTCCAACCCCTGTAATTGGAGACGTAGATATAGCTGATCCTTTGCAAGCGGCGAGCAGCTTTGCTCGCGAGCAAATCGGAGCTCTCTTACTCCGCCCACGTTGTTGCAGTAACTCAAGACTGTAAGTGTAACGCCTAAGTATTAGCACTTTGACCTACCGCATCAAATTGAGACACTTATTTTTAGCGCCTCGCGTGCGACCGAAAGTGCTTCTCGCTAATGCAATCGGGGAAATGTCGCGTTTTATACAATGCTCGCAGTAATAACGGCTTCATTAATTCCCGAGTAATAAGTTATGTTTACCTTTGTAGACGACGAAAGGCCAATCTTTATATAGATTACGATCATCAGGGTGTTGACTGTCGTCTCCTTGGAACAAGATCTTCGAACTTTGTTAGCCGTTTAATGTAATGTTTGTATAGTTTCGTACATTTATAGAATTTTCTGTAGAATTAGAAGATAAGATAGAATTATAGAATTCAATGATGTATGAAGACAGTCCTTTTATTACTTCATCTTCGTATTCTTGTATACGTGGACGTTAGTTAGTATAAATAGCAGGTGAAAATAACGCTAATAATTTAAACGGAACCATGAACAAGAGCAATGAAGCTCGGTGCCGGAATTCGAGTCGAGTAGAGCAAGAACGATACGACGTAGACACACGCAATAACGTCTCGGTTTTATCTCCCACGTTGTTGCACCGTAAAAAACTCACGTGAATGATAAACGGGGAACGTTTCCACGAAGGTTAGGATCTGTATAAGATACGGGTTGTCGGATCTATTTCCGTGTGAAGTTCAAAAACCCGCCTGAACTCGGAACACGGTTCTTGCACCGCGATCCGCGCGGTGCACGAAGAAATAGAAATGTTGCGAAGAACTTCACTCCAATTCGCAGTAGTTTCGCCCGCGGTACAGACTTTTATTGTCTCGACCATGAACAGTCGAAAACCTTTTTTTTCACTATAATCGCGTGTAAAGAATAAAGAACAAAATTAGACTACGCGATAGAGAGCTACAGCTTCGTACATGTTCAGAGGAAATTTTGTCTATGAAAATGTAAGTCATACTCGTGAGAAGGTTAGACTCTGTAAGACGAGAGGATGAGTTTGAAAGAAAAATTGTTAACGACGCGTTCGTCGATAATCGGAGGTTGGACTTGTTTGTTCGAGATTGAAATATTAAATAGCCAATGTCACGCCACGGTTCATTTGCCATGCGCATACGTAGGATTCGTTTGACTTTTAGATTAGCGCCGTGCATTACCGTAGATAAGTTGACATTTTATTAATTCAGCGAATGGTGTACAGTCCAGTTGCGTCGGAGATGCGAAATGGCCGGATTTTACAGTCACGTTCAACTTTACACGCTGGAAGTTCCGCGGGGTGAAAAATGAATCTGCGGTAGAGGTTGCGTAAGGACAATAGGCTGGATACTGACAATGGAGCTTTCTGAAAGGAGGATACTAAATAAAAGTCCCGCCCCCCCTATCGCCCCTCACCCGATGCACATGAATTAAAACTGCCTCGTCGAAACAAATGGTATTTACGTAGCGCCGTGAAGTCGCGAGCAAGCGAAAAAAAATTATTTCTTCCGGCATGGCATTGAAAGCAACACTGCAACCGCTGTTCCAGGATTAAAAGATTTTTTCCGCGTTTTATGGCGAACAGAGAGCACTTCAGCGAATCTCTAACAAAAAACAGTGCGTTACCAGAGCGAGCGTGTC